GCCCCCGCCGGGCGCCGCGGCCGGGTAGTCTTGGAAGTAGACGGCCGCGGAATTCCTGAGCTTCTGGATCTCTTGGGCATATGCTGTGGAGCTAATTAAACCAAACTTCAATTTTAGGGAAAGCAGTTCAGCTTTCAAAGTGGCGTTTTCTTCTCCCAGCGCAATTAGTTTGTTCTCCAGCACAAGGTCATTCAGCCGGCGCTTCTCCCGGGACCTCTTGGCAGCTTCGTTGTTCTTCCGCCTCTTCTCCCAATACATGGCGTCTTTCTTCTCATCGGGGATGAACTCCCGCTTCCGCCGGCACGCGGAGGCCTTGCCTTTGCCCACACCCCCTTCACCCAGGAGCAGCTCCTCTCCTGTGGACAAGTCTTCGGAGACGTCAGTTAAGGCCGAACTGAGCACCACCACCTTGTCCGCGCTGCAGCCGGGGTCCAGCGAGGCCTGCTCCTTCTTGACGGCCTGCATCTTCCTCAGCTGCATGGGAGACGCGCCCTGGCGGTGCCGCCGTCCCCGGCGCTCTCAGATGCTGTCCGCCCCGCGCTTCAACATCCATCCATGTCCCTCCTCCTGTCCGCCTGCCCTGCCCGGGACAGTCTCCCGCTCTCCCGCCGAGTGGAGTGGGGTCTAGGTGACCTGCAACACAGGAGAAGAAACAGTTATCCATTTGGTGACTATTTACCAGCAATCATGGACAGGAACTATGCCAAGCATTTAGGGCACAGGTCCGAACAAGACGCCGCCGTTTTCCTGCAGAGCCTGCATTCTTAAAAAGGAAGTGCCCCAATTCCCAGACTGTAAGGTTGTCAAGGACAAATCCCCAAGGAGACCTGGGGTGGAGCACTCAGTGTGAGGTCCCCGGGAGTGAGAGAAAACCCCGAGGATGCGGGGATGCGAGGATGCGGGGATGCGGGGATGCAGGGATGCGGGGATGCGGGGATGCAGGGATGCGGGGGTGTGGAGGATGCGGAAGATGCAGGGATGCGGGGATGCAGGGATGCGGGGATGCAGGGATGTGGGGATGCAGGGGTGTGGAGGATGCGGAAGATGCAGGGATGCGGGGATGCAGGGATGTGGGGATGCTGAGGATGTGGGGGTGTGGAGGATGCGGGGATGCTGAGGATGCGGGGATGCTGAGGATGCGGGGATGTGGAGGATGCTGAGGATGTGGGGGTGTGGAGGATGCGGGG